TTAACAAATCTACAAATAGTTGGATAATTGGATAAACTTCATCAAATCTCTTATGGAGACCAAATATATTTTCAGAACCAATATATATATAATTTAATATGAAATAAAAAAAATCTATATGATGTTTTAATTTGAAGTTTGATTAGAAGAGACACGTTGGCAAATCATTTAACTTAAAAATCATGTCAAATGCAAGATTAAATTTCTTTCTCTAAGAAGGATAGATTTGAGATCACTTAATAACTTCCAGTGTATCTGTTTTTATCTGGAGATATAGATATGTAGATAGATATAAATGTATTGCTAAAAGTAATAATAAAATTGAATCAGGTGAAAAGAAAGATACTACATAAAAGTGTTTTGTTTTTTTAATTTAATTTGTGTGTTTTTTTTAAGTCTTCATTCCGTCATTTGAGTGAATTTAAGGTTAATATTTCGATTTAAATAAATAAAAATATTTTTTGTCAAAAATCATACTAAAAACTTAAAAAATTGAAAATATAAAAATATAAGATTTAACACATCTATTAAGTTGGATAAATTTTATCAAATCTCTTATAGAGATCAAATATACTTTCGGAAACCAACGTATATAAAATCTAATTGGTTACACGTTATCTTCAAAATATTTTAATATGACTGTATAATAGAGATCAAACTGAAGATTTGATTAGGAAATCTGGATTTTATCAAATCTCTTGTTAAGATTTCAATCACTCAAAAAATAATTGCTTCGCCATTACGAATATACTGCTCCTATAAAAAGAGGACCAGGGGAGGCCAGAAGGAGCTACGTGAAGAAAATAGAGAGAGAGAGAGAGTCAAAGAATTGTCACATTAGAGAGTGAGCGATATTCGGTTGTGAAGGTAAGTCAATGTTCTTATCAATTAAATACTTGAACGCACAATTAATACTTCAAAATTATGCCTTCTATTTGATCAAATTCGCTTAGAATTATTTTAGACTCTTTGGATTGGTTGTGAAATAAATAATTTTGCACGGCATATGATAAATATGTGAAAGAACTTTGATAACGCTAAATCCTAAACCTTAAAACTTATAGAGGCTTATGAAATTTGGAGTTTTGTTTCATGATCTATTTTCTGTTCTTTTGTGCAGTCATCGTCAAAGTTTAGTGCTTGCCTTGGTAATTAACTGATAATATGTGAAAGAACTTTGATAACGCTAAATCCTAAACCTTAAAACTTATAGAGGCTTATGAAATTTGGAGTTTTGTTTCATGATCTATTTTCTGTTCTTTTGTGCAGTCATCGTCAAAGTTTAGTGCTTGCCTTGGTAATTAACTGACAGCCACACATGTTCATCGGACTTTTATTAAGCTATTCTCCGTAAAAAGATATGCTTAAGTAATTAATTCTATTAAAATTAAAAACTCTAAAATTATCAGCAGTTAAAATAATGAATTACAGGAGAAAAAAATTTTGAAGTTTTAATTAGAGACAATCTTTAAAAAAAAATATAATTAATATTTCACTTGATGACTTATAATTTTCAAGATAAAAAAATCAGTAGATTTTTGTAACTGCAATTATCTTTTAGGATTATTTTGACAGTTTTTAAAAGGGAGAGTTACATCAAGTCTTAAGGAAGAAAAATAATTACTAAAGAGTCCAATAACAACCTAAACAGCTTCTATTAATAAGTTTCAGAGTAGAGAATAATAACTTTAGGGGCTTGTTTTATAATTATTTTCCTTCCTTGAAATATCATTGTAATTCTCCGATCCTTTGATATCTTACACAGTAAGGCCCTTTTCAAGCATTTGTTATTACATATTACATATTTTATAAAATGCATAATTCAGGTTAATTATATAGAATTGGGAGCAAAAACAAATCCAATTTACATTAATATAATATAATATTTGGCTGCATAAAGATTATTTGGATGGGACATTATAAAGTTATAATGTTAGCATGCGGTCCACTGTATAATGATACTGGGTAAGATTAGTATGAATTGCTTAATATCATGTCATATCAACTAATTCCTATATCCCAATTTATTGCTGCAGAATGAATAATGCAAGAGTGGTAAGGAGGAGTGAGTTTCCTTCTTACAGGGAAACTCGTTTTGTGAGCAATGAAACTTCTTATCAATGCAGGATGCCGTCCACTTCTGGTAAATAATGCTTATCGCTGCAAGAGGCAGTCCACTTACTCCCATAATAACAAAAAATGTGAAGCAGACGGCAAAAGGTCCTCTAAGCCCAAAGGCAATTCATCTCAAATTTGCAAATATTGGATCAATGGAAACTGCGTCCATGGTGATCACTGTTGGAACTTGCATTCTTGGTTTTATGGCGATGGCCTTTCTATCCTCACTAAGCTCCACCAACACAAGACGGTACCTACTTGACTTCCATTATTTGCCAATATCAGTACATATGCTTGATCTTGTTTCTTTGCCGGATCTTATTATGCAGTAACTTTTTGTTCGAGTAGATTTTATATCTAGGAATGAGTTCAATTCTCTTTTTAGTTGTTATATATATAAAGGATTGGTGGGGTAGCTTTTTGGTCAAGTACTAAACTTTGAATTATGATTACAGATTATGACTGGGATTACACTTCCAGTTGGATCGGACAAACTCTTTTCTTGTAGCACCGATAGGACACTTCGGGTATGGGACTGTCATACGGGTGAATGTGTTAATGTGATAAATCTGGGTGAAGAGGCAAGGTGTTTGATCAGTATGGGTTCATGGGTTTTTGCTGGTTTGAAGAATGCTGTTAAGGTAATTGAGCTCTTAAACTTCTTGATCATATGATGATTGTGTTTTTGTTTTGTCTTTCATCTTTTATATGATCATTAGGTTAATTAATCAGAAATTAAACTTGTACGTGGTTTTGGTTATTATATATGAAGGCATGGAACATTCAGACTGCTGCTGAGATCACTCTTGACGGACCTAAGGGTCCTGTACTTTCCATGGCTGTTTGCAACGACACAATTTTTACTGGAGCTATGGTACGTAATTGGTTTTACTAGGTTCTTTTCACTTCATTAATATTTGTTCTCTTCTCTCTTATTATAATCTCATACTACGTTTCCATGTCATAGGATGGTGTTATTTATGCATGGAGACTCACTTCTGAAGCAAATTTTCCATTTAAACCAGTAGCAACATTGAACGGCCACACCAGAGCTGTCGTTTCCTTAACTGGTGGACCTGGGTACAAGTTATATTCAGGTTCTGTGGATCATAGCATCAAGGTACATAGTTTTTTCAAGTTAGTAACTTTATTAATCTTCCTAAATTAGTCAACTGAAAGAGCAGAGTTAGTATGTTGTTGTTGAATTCATTTGAGAGGATTTAATGATTTCTTGTTTTTTTCAGGTTTGGGACCTCAACACATTACAATGTACCATGACGTTGAAAGGGCACAATGATGTAGTGACATCCCTTATTTTCTGGGACAAATACTTATTTTCAAGTTCTTTGGACGGCACAGTAAAGCTTTGGACTTCAACTGATCATGAACAATCAACTATGGCAGCAGTGTACACGCATCAAGAAGAAAGTGTGAGTTTTACTTCAATAAACAGTAGAGATTCATATGCATGTTATATTGTGAGAAATCATTCTAATGTATAGTTTTGGTGATATTATATTATAGGGTGTGGTTAGAATCACTGGCATGACTGATGCAAAAGGGAAACCCATACTGTTTTGCTCCTGCAGCAACCATTTAGTTAGCCTGTACGAAATGCCAACGTGAGTAGACTTCATGTTTCCATTTTTATTTTTGGTTTTAATATTGTATAAATATATATATATATATATATATATCAGGCCTTGATAGGATCTGGGGTGTTTTTTCTGGTCAGGTTTGCCGCAAGAGGAAGATTATTCTCAAAGCAAGAGATTAGAGTAATAGAAGAAGGCCCTGGTGGACTCTTTTTCACGGGAGACGGCACTGGTCTGCTCACTGTCTGGAAATGGCAAGCAGATGAATCGGAGCCTATGGCCACATCTTCATGATTCCTAATTTTTTTCCTTTATGTTTACCCTTAGAGTCTGTATATATTTTCCTTGTCTTGTACAAGATCTAAACAAGATGTTTCTTTCTGTTTCAAGTTTTGTTTGTATAACATTATGTAGATATATTCAATTCCAATTTCAGCTCAATCAACAACTCTGGTTGTGAAAATTGTATAGATTCATTCCCATTTGTATTCTATCATTTTAAAATTTGTTTGCAACTAAATTTAAATGGTAATTGTGAAACTAGAGATAAAGCTAACTGATTAAAATTAATTTGAAACACTTATGTACATGATGTCAGCAGTAATTCGAAAACAAATGTTTTCCCCTTGTGTGATGGATTGTAATGATATTGATATTAATTGGAAAAGTTTTTTAAAACATTGTACTGATTCTTGAAAAGGAATCAATATGCTAAATTTTGTTGCATATCTCATGAGGCCACAAATATTTCCTGAATTTTGGATCATGCACAGATAACCTGCGTATAAAAAAATAATCATCATAAAACACATCAAACAAGTTTACAATTACGGTAAAAACAACAGTAGTAGCAGTAGTAATGTTGCTTTTGTGGAACTACGTATTTATCATATTTTGATTGAAAAATCTGAAAATAAAGACATAAGATGGTTCCTGGTCAAGAAAAAGATACAAGATAGTTCACTTGCAACTGCTGAACAAGATCCTCAAGAAACTTTTTCTAAGTAATCATTATTCAAGGACAACCAACACTAATGTGAAACAAAGAATAAGAAACTCAAAATGAATAGTTATGATATACAAGGATGCAGAAACATTTCAACATTCAATTTCACTCTAATATATACATATATATATTGATATTACAATGATTAGATCAGTCCATCAACTTGATAATTCCTCTATGATAACATCATACCCATCATAAAATCAGCAATAAGCACCTATGTTGCAATTAATGTCTCAAAACATAGGTAGAAACATCATGACACAGTTACACAAGACAAGCCAGTTCACTTATTAAAGTTACATACAACAGGAGCTACTTTTTCAGCTGCCTATTACAGTACAAGATAACACAATTTAATTTTCTAATACACGTATAGTTCAGTTTAGATTCAGATCCCAAGGCTTTGTGTTATTCACGAGCAATTTGTTTCATAACTTGCAAGTCCCAACAACTCCGGACCTTCCAATCGAGGGTTATTCTCAAAGCTGCAGAATTGAACCCCAAACAAAGAAGGATTTAGATTGACCCCTTTAGCGAATAGATTAGGAAGAAGAACAAACAGCTAATAGTGCTTTTAGTCCCTTAACATCACATAAGGTTTCATTTTGGTCCTTTAATTTCATACAATTCTTTTTCATTCCTCTAATCCCAATACTTTTAATAAAATATGCTGATCTTAAAATTTTAAATGTTGACAAAACATTCTCAAATACTGATATATTAAGCTTAAGTATTGGCACAAAAAATCATGAATTGAGTCTAATGATGGTTGGATTAAAGGACAAAAGATACTTTATAAAATACTGAGGCCAAAATAAAATTTTATATAAATCTTGACAATTAAAAGTACAGTTTTGCAATACATGATAGCAAGAAACTCAGGTTCCCATGCCTTCAGAATCAGTGTGCAGGGGAGAAAAAAAGGAATGAAAGCAAATGAAAAGTTACAGAAACAGGAAGAACAATCTGATCCTCTCCACCAGAGCGCTATCGTACAATTCATAGCTGGCTGCCAGCAAGGGACATGATATGTTGAAATTAATTATTCATGCAATATTGTTTTCCAGGTTAATTATTCATGTTACATTTATTCCAACTTCAGTCACATATTTGCGACTGAAGAATGATACTTTCACCTGTCCAACATCAATTTTTATTCTAATTATCTGATTTTCGATTCTTCATTTTCCTTTGCAAAAGTTAGTTATTCAGAAAACGCATTTGTTTTATGAAGTGAAAATGGTGTTCATCTTTTGTTTTTGGATCAACCAGACATAAGTGCCATTAGTACTACTTGACTTCTAATTTTGACAAGATTAGTTAATTTTCTTTAATTATTTTACATATATACCCATGCAAAATTACAAAAATGCCACCAGTTATTTTGTGTAAAAACTGAAAACATCTTTCACGAGTTTCCAATTTGCAGTTTCAGAGCATGGTTCTGCCGCTAATGGACAGGAAGCATATTAACAATCAAAATCCAGGACATCCATAACATCTGAAATGCTCAATCAATAATTCTCAATGCTTAAGCAACACACTGCAATTTGCAACCAACAGACACTAATACAAAGCGACATGAATTGCTCCATTCAAGAAAACAATGGCATTATACTTAAGAATTAGAAGATAAATATATTTGGAAACGTACTTATTCAATGAAATATGCTCAAATGGCCCTGCCATAGGAATTGGTCCGCATAAATCATTGTTGGACACATCGCTGAAGAGAAAAGTTAGAGTGCATGGGTGTTACTTCAGAATACCACCATAAAATGGCACCATAAAGAAAACAATGACATACAATACTTTAAGGCTTTTAACATCAGCAAGCCGCCTAGGGATTGGACCAGTTAACCGGTTGTCATTCAGCCGCCTGCAAAGAAAATATTGATTTATTGAGAGCAGTGAAAGTAATACAACTATGGAGGACAAGGAATTTTCAAACAACAAAAATCAAAACCAAAAACAAAGACTTTAGATCCAAAGAGCTCCCAATCCTTTAGCAAGTCCGTTAATTACATTCTGCAAGATGAACCTAACAATACAACTATAGAACCCAGAAGTCAACGCAAGGTAGTTGGACTCCATCATAGCTTTCACTTGAGCACAAAATTTTCTTGAGTCTCGTCCCACATCACCTATTCTATCTAATAATTCTTCTAAGAACAATGAAAGATTTAACCATACTTACATAAAGACAAGATTCTTCAGCTTCCCCAGTGAAGGAGGAATGGTTCCTGATATGTTGTTGTTGTACAAGTCCAAGCTAATAAGGTTCTTCAGATTCCCAAGCCCTGGTGGCGTTGTTCCTTGAATATTGTTTTTATAAAGCTCACTACATCAGTATGAGTAAAGTATTTTGGAGTCAACTTCATTTAATTCATAAGAAAAGATAGCTAAAACTATAAAAAATGTGTTGATGATTTCTGTGAGGGCATTTCACATATTTGGAGTCAAAGCACCAACACAGACTCAGAGCATCAACACAGAAGAGTAACCGCAGATTTGAAAACATACAGATACTGTAGATGTTCTAGGTTCCCAAGTTCAGGTACCAAATGTCCAGATAGGTTTGAGTTGCCAAGATCACTGCAGAAAATATTATACGACCATCAACAGAATCATCAACGAAGAGAGAAAATAAAGAAAGGTTTTAATCAACTAAATACGTTGTATTCCTCTTCCAGTAAAAAAGATTATGAAACTGAACAAACAAGCAATCCATTGACTACCTAAAATTGCAAAGACACCAACTCAATACACAAATGAATCAAAGGAGATTTTTGTCAACAATCTTAGACATGTTCTTCTTGCAAAGAAAAGGCGTAATGATTTGTTTCATTATACAAAGATCCTGAACATTTAACAGGGTAACACCACAGAGAACTTCGATAACTGGGAAAAAACATATGTTGATGTCGCCTCTTCAGAGCTTAACAAGATTGGCTTACCCATAACCACCTGCCCTTACCTGTCCAACTGTGCCGTCCGCTTCCCCCACCCCCACACCCCAAAAGGAAGAGAAAGAAATAAAGCAGCAACTCCGTAGTGAATAGATATAGCAGAATTACATATAATTAAACACGTTTCCCTGCACATAGCATGGAGTTTGAGAAATGAGTCATTATATTCATGCATAAATTTTATATATGATATAGTTGATGACGCTTAGTTTCATGTTTTATCTATAATAGACGGAACCCCTTTATTAAGTCAGACCACAAAAATCCAGCAATGTACGCGATACCCCCGGGCAGGTGGAAGACAAGCAATAGAAAAGGATAAGGAAGAAGCAAGAAGATGCTGAGCTGGAACAAAATGGCTAATGTGTCCAATCATGTCATATTGCAGAATAAGTTTGTTATGGATCTACCTTGATCAGGGCTTTGCGTGTTCCCATCATGTAGTAGAGGATGAAAGAAGATAGGGGACCGGTGAGGAATTTGGTGAGAGATTTCATTTGAAGTCCCTTCTATGACTCAACGAAGGAAGATTATCCATCGCATTTGCTTTCATCCCTGTCCTTCTCTATTTTTTCTGCCTCCATAACAACATTTCACGGTTGCTCCAGTCCATATATTCCTGATATACAGGTTATCACTCTTTGCCACGCTAGGCTATCAGCATAAGGTAATTCAATACAGAGGCTGAAATAGAATTATTAAGTCCATAAATTCTTTGGTCAGGACAGAATATACCATTAACGTGCACTAAAATACACAAAATTTACAACAATCAATCAACAGATGTCTTCTGCCCTGGTGAAAAAGGCAACAAATGAACAAATCTTAAGACAAACTGCTTGTAATCATAGGAATGGTGCCTATTACTACCTTTTAAACATAAAAAGCCGAAATTCAGTTACTCCTATTGAAACAAACAACCAAAAAATGTATTCACATCCATCACAGAACAAAAGCATGGAAGAAAATGCGGGAAAAATGATAGGGGATAGATGCACATACAGTGACCTGGTTGTCCTGGTTGCAGGTGACATGGAACCAAGTACAAGGATTGACAAGGGTCGGATCCCCAACTCTGGAGCACGTTATTCGGATCGTACAAGCTGCGGCGAAGGGTGTAGAGTGCGCCGCCTTCGGAGTTAGCACTGACGAGATTATTTACAGCTAAAAGTAGAGAAAAGCATAACAAAACCCAAAAGGAAAGGAAGGTAGGTGCTGCTTCCATCGCTGAAGTATCTGTGATCTGAATTGAACTGTACAACTGTTGTTAGGTTTCGCTTTACGACTTCTGATTCAATAATAATGCTCCAAAGAAGATGAAGAGAAGCTTCGAAAATGAGAAAGTGGAAGACAGGATCCACTTTGGGAATATCATCACAAACAGTAAAAGATGGATTTTTCTTTTTAATTATTAGAGAAAGTGTTGGTAACACAGATTCTCCATTCACACTTGACAGACCTATGGCTTAGGCCGCTTTTCACTGAGTAGAAAGATTTGAAATCAAATTAAAATAAGAACGAGGATAAGAATAGAATGGAATCTTAGAATGTAAAGCATGTTCGTGGCGTACTTTTTAAAGTCAATCCTATCTTTCTTAATTTTTTTTTCCTACCGTTTTCGTCTCTACAAAGTCCAAAAGTACACAGATTTGTGATTTACCCAGATTTTCAGATTGAGAATGGCAAATTTTTTTGTTTCCCCGCCCAATTCAGTGAGAACTGAGAAGCAGCGAAAGTGGGATTTGAATTTGCGCAAACTCTTAATACTCCTCAATGGGATGCCATGCAACGTTGCAAACTCCTGGGTATCTTTTTTTTACCATATAATTTAATTAATCAATTTGAGTAGATTAAAAATATTAATTAAATTAATTAATATATTATATGTTTTCTAAACCATCAGTATCTTTCTTAATTTTTTTTGTCTTTCTCTTTTACTTGATTATTATTAACAGAATATTAACAGGGTTAGTTTGAAAAAAATTCATTAAACATATAAAATAGGTAATACTTTCATTCCTAATTATAAGAGCTAGTTGACTATTTGACAAGATTAAAAAAATAAGTTAAATTAGTTATTTGTAATGAATAGGTGTTATCTTTCTTAAGATATCATTACTAATCAAGTGTGTTGGCTAGAACTATTATTATTAGAAGGGTTTTTTTCGGAAAAAAATATATAAATATGAGAGACAAAATAGATTGACATTTTATATTTAGGACCAAAATAAAAACTAAATAAGGTTTTATATTAAGAATCGGAGGTAATATTATATATAGGACTAATATCAATTCTCTAATTGGTGACTATATTAAGTACGGGAGGAGTAATTTCTAAGTTTAGAGCATACATTTACTCGTCTTCTTAAAAAACAAAAAGAGCATACATTTACTCCTTTTTTTTTTTTCCAGCTACTCTTTTAACGGTAATACTTTATATGTTCCGAGCGACCCAATGGAGATGGAGATTTATAAGATCAATAATCAATAATAATACTGGGTTAAAAAATCATGAATATTGGTTGCATTACTTACGTCGAGAATAGGAATCAATACCTCTAAAAGAAGAAGTAATTTTACGACATATTCTAATGACTAACATCATTACTTTCCTATTATTTTAAATGATATTCCAAAGTAAAAATTGAAATGATCATGGAAATATCTTAATTTTAATATCTTTGAAAGTAAAAATTGTACTTAATATGAATATTAATGTAAATAAATACGATAATGATGTGTTAAAAAAATTACTGATTTGACGCTGAAGAAGGGGTTCTAAGTAAATCTGGAATGTCGAATATATATATATATATATATATATATATAAGGGATATTTGCCATAGTTTTGTTACTGAAAAAATTTCAAAAAATACCTCTTCAATCTGAAAATGTCAAATTAGTCTTATCTATCAAAATTTGATAGCAACTGAGTATAATTGAAAAACAAATGACAACACATTTTTATAGTAATTCCTGATTTGGGATTTTGAAATTTAAGAAGTATTTTTTTGGGGATTTTCCTTTATTATTTAATTGACTACATTAGTTTTTAATAGATTATCAAAATAACTTTTAATTACATTATTATTTTTTTAATGCATAACATTGTTCCTATTAAAAAGATGTTTGAGTAGAAACAAAACCATAATTTTATAAGTATTTTTACAGTATCCGAAATAAATATGTGAAAGAGTTTGCATCGATTTGTAAAAAAAATGCTTTTAAAAAGTATTTTTAGGGTTATCCACCCCCCAAATGAAATTAGGTATTGGGTCATGTGTAACATTTTGGATATGTACGGATGTGTTTGTCACTATTTCATGGTAGAGGGTTAATGAACACAAGACCAACATTTTTTTTTAAAGTATATGTATCTTCTTATTAGAAACAATTTTGTTAGAGATATTTTCGAGTATATATATATCTCAATGCAAATTTGTGCTATGAAGTCAAAAGGGAGTGGAAGAATCTAATCTAAGAGATATCTAAAGTGTACCGAAGGGTGTCTATAGTGGGTTGGAAGTCAAGTGTTCACCATAGAGGATGGGCGGTTTTGGACTTAGAGACATGAAGGATTCTCTCTATGGGAAGGTTGCTTGGAATGTGCCAGCAAAGCCTTGTAGCCTGCGTTTACAAGTATTGCGAAGGAAGTATGAAAAGGGGAATTATTTGATGGTTGCATGCCCTATCAAATAGTCCAATTCTTTTTTTCCCCTTTGTTTTTTGAAAGGACTTATGAAGTATTTGTTTGGAATTGTGATTTGATCTTTTGAAAGCGAATTTTTAATCGTGATTTATAGAATATGAGATAAATACGTAAAAAGAATTATACATCAACTTACATGAAAGTGTTTATAAGTACAAAACAAACACAGATACAAATAAGCCATAAATTGTGATCGTGTGTTGAGTATTATTACATGGATGTTAGGCTTTGTTTGGTTCAACGCAGGGGAAGGGAGGGGAGGTTAATTAAAAGAAGGGGAAAAGAGGGGAAAGAGGTCATGGGTTTTGTTTGGTTGGAGGGGAGGGGAAGAGAGGGAAAATTTCTTGTTTGGTTCATAAAAAGAGAGGAGAGGAGGTAATTATAAATTGACAAGTATACCCTTATCTATATATTTAAACTACTTTATTCTTCTATTACAATATTTATATCAAAATTATTATTTCTTAATTTATCAATTTCAAAAATACCAATTACCTCACTTACATGTGATTAAAAAAAATTAGGAAATATGATAAAAAGTTCAACATTCTATCTCATTAATTTTATAATTATAATACACATGCATGTGTATTAAAATATATGATATGTATATATTATGCAATTATAATACACACATGCTATGATATGTATATATTAATATATATATGCATGTGTGTGGCCTATCTGAGATTAATATATATGCATATTTGCAACCATCTGAGATTATAATACACACGTCATGATATATAATTATAATATACACACATTGTGATATGTATATATCAAGCGGTGTATATGAAAAATAATTCAATTGCTCAATACATGATATTTTTATTAGTTTCACTCTCAAAAACTGATTAAAATTATTCTCTATTTAAGTATTTTCTTCCTATTCGTTTTCAATCTATGGAAAATACAAGCCATGCTACATTATTATATCAACAAAACAAGGTCGGAACTTAATAGAAAACAATCATACAGTGTGTGAAGCCTATATATATAAATTAAGTATGCAGGCATACTGATGATGACAGACTTTGACTTTTCAAACAGCTAAGTGGTAAGTCGATAACCTCCCCCACAGTATAATAATACTGGATGAAAAGAGATAAAAGCGAGAAAATGGTTTATAATAAGAGGAGCAAGCTTGGAATATTGAAAAGTTGGTAGGGGTAGTTTAGTCAATATAATACATAATATTTTTCTTCCCTCCAAAAAAACCCTAAATTTGGAGGGGAGCAGAAGGAAGGGAGAGGAGCACTAAAAGACAAATTTCTTTCCTCCCCTATCCTCTATTTTTTTCAATCAAACACACTTATGCCCTCCCCTCCCCTCAACAACCCTCCAACCAAACAGAGTCTCAAGGATAGGGGTAAGTTAAATTTCTCAAGAGACGTTTAGGAGGGTAAATTTTTAGAGCTGACAATATGTGCAAGGTGTCGGACACGGGACAGAATGATTTTGGCACAATGAGTGGGAGCAACGAGTGGGATATGGTTTGGTGATACATGTTGGTGGCTATGGCACTGGAGGAATACAATGCTGTTATCCCTTCTTATTATTATAAGAATTAAATGATTAATTTGCAAATATTAAAAAGATTGACTAAATTAATTATCTGTAATAAATAGATTTTTTTAAAATACCTCTGTTAATGATATGTATGGAAATATTTTGTCATTAAAACTTTTTAATATGTGTAATTACTATAAAATTATTTGAAAGCAAAATGAATAAATATTGAAGATAAAGTAAATTAGAGTATCAATCAATCATCATCAGCTATATTTTTAAAAACTTGTAATACACAATTCGTTCAAAAATAGGTCAGATATGATATTGTAGAATCCAAATATATTCAATTAACGAGATTTGAATAGCATATTGATTGGGATTTTGAATATGTTGAATTAAATGAGATTTTAGTTCGAGGCTTAAATGAAAAATTAGTAGTAATAATTAATTTTTAATTTGAATAATATCTTAATTGGGATTTGAATATATTGAATTAAATAGGAAGCATCATAATTAAATGACATTGGAGGCTTAAATGGAGAAATAAATAGTTAATTTCAAATTTTTATCTATTTTTCTTAAATTCGGCATCTTTAGTTTGAATCCCATCTGAATAAATTAAAAAAAATCATACTCCTCTAAGAAATAAATCTTAAACCACCTTAAATAATACAATTTATTTGAATTTTAAATCTAATCAAATGTGTTAATCTGTGTATTGCATGGGTAAGAAATTTCTAGTTATATTTAGAATAAAATTAAATATCTAATTAGTTCTTATATTAATAACTGAAAGTATAATTTGAAAATCACTTCATATTTCTTGCCGGATCCAAGTGGGTAATTCTAAGGGATGTTTGGAAATTAAAGCACTTGGCTGCTATAACTCTGACGATAAGAATATGAGAAAGCCATGGGTTCATGTTAAATGAGTGCGGATTGGATGAGGTTTGCTTGATGATTTTAAGAGGTGAATCTTATAAGGCACACAATGACACACA